TATATATATATATATATATATTGCATTTCAACAATGCTTTTATTGTAGACATTAATTTTATTCTATGGTCAAAGGAAATTACCCAATTTTATGACTTTTTTTTTCAATGTTTGCTGATAAGAGTCATTTTTTGCCGGTTTCATTGATTTTAATATTGTTTTAATGGTTCTTGCTTCAAATAATATGTACAAGATACAACACATGTTCTCCACAGAATTCCTGAGTGGTGGTTAAGTTGGCCATAGTATGTAATCTACACTTCTGTAACATTTATCGGCAGTATTTGCGATAACTTAAGACAGATATCCTGGTAAAGATTGTTCAGACTAAAAGTTTGCAAGCCGATTTTTGTTTCAATTGATGAAACTACAGATATTGAGGGTCGGAATGTGGCCAATATTATTGTTGGGACTCTGAAACCGGATGCACTAGGTAGGGATTTCTTTTAACAAGAGACTCTTTTTGTAAAAAATTATAGAAACTTATTTATATTTTTATTACAGAATTATAATTTTTCAGTGAAATAAATCATCTCGTTAAGACATTGGTTGGAAATGGGTATACTTTGATGCAAGTAAATATTTGCCTTGATATATATCAATCATATAGTTGATTAGAAATTAATTTATTAAAATGAACTAAAAATCAATAAAGCAGTAAACCAATTCCCTCAAAATGAGCATAATTTATTCATCTAAACTGGTTTAGACCAAGTTTTTTAATTTTTCTTTGCCTTTAGGGCATTTTTAAAGCATTTAATAGCATTTTATTGATAATTTTTGGCATTATTATAGGCCATCAAAATCCGCCCCTTATTTATTACAGTTTTTTTATAGATTACATATTTTCCATTTGAAAAATATGTATTTTTTCTGTGAATCAAACTGTTCAGAAATTCGAAATTTCTTTGTTGAAAAAGAGAAATACCAATTACTTTAAAGTCTGAGTATTGTTAAATATGCAGTATTTTTTACTTATATTTAATTCTATTTTTTTTTTGAAATTGTTTCTTGCTTTGATAACAATGTAAGGCAATTAAGAAAAAATTGAATTAATTACAATTGCGGTGTGTTGTATGCGGCAAGTAGAATGGCTTCAAATAAAATAATTTGGTTGATGAAAAATAAAAATATATATTGTTTTTCAATTAAAGAGTCTATTTATTTATTTATTGTTTTTAATAGGTTGAAAACGTTCATCAATTCGACTTCCATTAAGCATCGACGCATAAACACGTTTGAATTTCGCGCTACTTCGGTTGTATTTCGTCAGTACTAATAAAAATCGCGTGACTTGTACGTCTTTCAGTGGAATAATTAATAATTAAACACGAAGAACGCAAACAAAATAACAAAAAAATAGATACTATAAATTAATAATTTGGATCTAATAAATTAAATATTCTAGTACATATGGAAGTGCAATAATGACATAATATTGCGTTTTCTTTCTAGTAACAGTGGGATACAAGGGGCAGCTGCTCGATTTTCTATCTTCCCGATTGGTCCAGAACTTTCGGGGTGTCAATTTAGGGGAGGATAGGTCCGCTGCTGGCGCGGATCGCCGAAGCTGGTTTGACGCGTGGAAGCCGGCAGAGCGAGTGTGTAGACGAGTCGCGCCCGAGGCCTGTGCACCTTTGTGCTTATGAGCGAGTTTTCTTCCATTTTGGTTGAAGACGTGGACGAGCTCAGAAGTTGTATTTGGACGTGCTGTATATTGACTCTACTTCGTTTTTTTACCAAAGTAAGTTTCGTTTCGGGCCATATCATAATTCTGAACGTTTGCCAGGCGCAGCGTGCAGATTAATTTTTCTTTTTCCTCACAATTTTTTATTTTTATTTTGGCGACTATAATATGTATTAAAATATTTTTCGTAATTTCTGGTTTTAAAGTAACATAAAATTTATTTCAGATGTCTCTCGCTCCTTACTTGTGCAACAGTGCCTTGCAGGCAGCTATGCACGATCTGTCACGTTTGACACCGTCCATTTTCGACCAGAACTTCGGTCTTGGTGTCCTTCATGATGACCTTGTACATCCTCCCTTGATGCCAGTGCCCCTGTTTTCTGGCTACCTGCGTCCCTGGCGCCACCAATCCACTCGAAATAGCGGCGTTTCAAATATCCAAAACAATCAGGATGGATTCAAGGTATGAATCGAAGTTGCTTGTCGAAAAACAATCTTTCGACTAGTCGACGAGAGCTTCGCATTCGGTTTCGCCGCCATAATTTCAAATCGCTCTGTCGCTTTCGTCTAGAAAGACCCAGCCCACTTCCACATTTGGCAGTAAAGAGATTTTTACAAATCTTATTCCTTTTCCAAATAAAGAAATGGGAAATATTACGAAAATTTCAAGAGAATATTCATAAAAAGCCAGTGGTGTGTACTGTTCGGGCCCGCCCGGTTTTAGGGGATATTTTTAATGTAGCAACATTATCAATGTTTATAGCAAACAAGTAAAGGGGGCCCACACTAAATTATTATGCTACTGGATTTAGCAAATATTTTTTAATCGTGGGCTTAAACTTTGAAGGAGAAAGAGAAAGCAATGTTTCCATTTTAACAAATTTTCGGGAATCAAATATGGTTTGTTGAAGGTTGCTTAGTTCTCAAATGTTATACTGATTGTATATATATTTGGTAATGGTTAAACTAATTGCTCTTATCCCTATAGGTAAACTTGGATGTCCAGCAGTTCAAACCTGAAGAAGTAAATGTAAAAGTTGTGGACAACTACATTGTTGTTGAGGGCAAGCATGAGGAACGCGAGGACGAACATGGTCACATTTCTCGCCAGTTTCAACGCCGCTACAGAATTCCCGAGGACGTAAATGTTGATGCCCTAGTTTCCAAATTATCTTCTGATGGAGTACTTTCAATTGAAGCGCCAAAAAAAGTACGTTGACTTTTTGATAAGTGTTCATATTATCAGACCATGATTTTTGTATTTTTGCTTAGTTGGGAAGTAGTGGCCACTAGCACTGGTTTCTCGCTAACCTCCAATTTTTGTTTGGTGACAAAAGGAGTTTTCTTGGGAATGTGGTTGAACCATTTTTGAAAGATTAAAAGTGGAGAAATGTAATCATTCTTGTTGTAGGTTTCAAAAGGTGATTTGTAAAGCTTGGATAAATTTGTACAAATGGACAGTATTGTCAGTGATTTAGTGAGCACTGGGAACTTGATTAAGTTTATAGGATGCAATTCTTGGAACTCCAAAATTAAGGTTTCTTTTATTTCAGGCCTTACCTCCTCCCACCAAGGAACGCAAGATCGAAATTGCCTTAACAAATGCACCTGCTGTGACGGCCAAACCAGCTGCTACAAAGGATGCCCCTGAGAAAATGGATCAATAAATGTTCTCAAAGTTTATTAATTTGCATTTTTAATTCCTTGTAAGACTGAATTTTTGTGAACTGGAATTTCCAGTAGAAGACTGAAGGAGCATGAATTGGAAGACTGATTAAAATACATTCTTAAATCATGGATTTCTGATTTTTCTTGGCTTTCATTAATCCTTCCCTTACTATCCTCTAGCGTTAAAAACACCAGGAAAAATTCTTAATTGACAATCTAGAAAAAAACCTAAGAGTTGGAAATGGTTTTGCTCAATTCCAAAACTAGTAAATATTCTTTAACAGAAACTTAGAGAATTAGTTTAAATACAGAATTTTGCATGTTGGTTTAACATCGTAAAATTCCTGGGGAATGTGCTAAACTACTCTGGTTGTGCTGTGCTGACATGAAGTCTGGCTCTGCACTAATTTCACTACCCAAGAAAATTTCACTTGCATTGAATACTCGTTTCAAGTTTGCTCAGTTTAATACGTCGTACATAGAAAATTGTGTACTTTTAGCGAGTCAATTTCTTGTAAAATTGACTGGAAATGGCTCCATTTGAATAGAAATGGTAACTATGAATTTTGTACTAGATCAACCCCAGAGAGTGATACTTGAAACATTTGGTAATGTTTGACTGAAACAATATTCTTTGCAGTTTTAACTGCTAATTTAGTTCAATAACCAACATGGAATAAATTCACTTTTCTTAAAACAGTATCTCTATAACTATGATAAACTTTCTTTCCTGAATTGTGTAGCAAATCAAATGCCAGTGCCATATTTTCTTTGGTATAATGTTCTAGTTTTGCAAGTTTCAGAATAAGAATACAACTTAATTCACTTGCAACTGAAATTCAATTGAAAATGAATTTCTGGAATCTTAAAACCAGTTGTTCATGGTAACATAGTAATGTTTTAGGTGACTGTAGAACAAAAGTTTATTATAAAGTTGTCATTTATTTATAAATGTGATTAGAATGTGAGGAATTTTGTTAACTTGTGCCTTGTGAAAACCAGAGACATCAGGACATGTATCAAGTGAAGATATGAGACATCAATGTGAGTAGCTTAAATTCTTATTTATTCAAGTCAAAAATTAAGTTTGAATTTATTCTTTTCAGGGTAATTTGTTGGGTTTCTTCTTATTTGATTTTATATGGTAGCTTTCCAAGTACAGTGGAACCTCTATTATCTGAAGCAAACACTCAGGTTTGCATGTCATATTATCTTTCAGGTTTTTTTATTATTTGACTACATGTGATTCTTGTGTGTTAAGTTAACTTGCTCTTCATGGTTCATGATAATTGAAAATATGGTTATGTTAAGATTTTGACTATAATTTTCAATTAAATCAGTATTATTGTAAGCCAAATGGGATTGCTTAATGTCTGATATTTGAGTGAAAAATAGATAAATTAGTAAATGTGAGGTTAATTTATTTAGGCTTGAGTGTGAATGAATAATCTTACAAATAAAAACAACATAAAATCAAGTTAGACATTTTTGAATTAATATCTCATGTTTGCATTGCCTTAACTTTCAATTCAAGTGCTGGAAATTAGGCTGCACTTTCCCTTTAAGCACCTTTTACATTATTATAACATTTCAGATCATATCAAATGATTCATGAATACAATTTGCTAATTATAATGCTTTCACATGGTTCTGGAAATAGTTTCCTATAACCTTCAGGTGCAGGTATATGATCATGAATAATTTTATCAGAAGGTAGCATTTCCTGCTTTTAAAAATAATATAAAGCTATTATTCAGTGTCATTTTTTACTTGAGATAATAATTGTTATTTGTTAGGAAGGAAAGGAAAATGACCTATGGTAGCAAAATCTTTCTACTATGTACTGAATTATTTTGCGATATATTATAAATTCTCTCTGTAATTATGACTTTGCATTTAACAGCAAAATACACACCTGTAATTAAGACATTCCTATTCTTGTTCCTGAACATGATATAAATAAAATAACATTTTGAATATAAATTTCTAGAAGCCTACTATTATGGTGAAATGTTTTGAACCTATAGGAGGTTCATCAATACTAAAAGTTTTCAAAATACACAATAAAAACAATACATTAAATACAATAAAAATTTTCAAAATTACTGGTGAAGATGTAATTATATCTCATTAAAAGTAATGTTGCTATACGTTAAAGTTCTCTTGCATGTACAGATGTTTCAGCAAATTAATTTCTTTAAATAGTTTCATTAAAAAAAAAAAAATTTAAAGGAGTGGAACAATTTTCAATCTGTTTGTTACTTGTTTAAGATAAAACATACCTGTTGGTCATTAATATATTAAATTCTGTTAGCATAAAAATATTTATTTAAGACTAAAAGTATATTTTCAGTCTACTTGGAAGTAAATAGGGCTTTTTAAGTTATTTTGAAAGAAATTAAGCAATTTAATCTACTAGTTCAGCAACAATTTCTTTTCAACAAACTTTGAAGGCAATTAAGGTTCAAAATAGCATAGCTAAAAGTTATTTTCATGTTTTTCACTGTAAAATATATTTTAGTATTGATATGCACTGGAGATGGATAAAGGGCAAAGCAATTTAGTAAGTAAAAATGATTATTTTTTGTAGCATTGCAAAACTTGTGACTAATGCAGACTTAAAGCAAACGAAAGTGCCCCCTAGAACTCCTGAACATAATTCCTTTACAAAATAATATGCGTTCTGTTTCTTTTTTATTCCTTTGATTTTGGTATTTTAGTGATATCCTTGTCAAATTTCGATATCTTGTAGAAATTGAAATTCATAATTCTTGAGGAATTGCAAGTCATTGAAAGTGAGTAGAAACTTGAAATTCTCTGTTTGCTAGATTCCTCTTCTCTATATGGTGGTTCCTTTGGGCATGCATATGTCTTTTGGGATTTTTGTACCTTGGCTTGTATGTACTTTATGTCATGTCTAGTGCCTTATTCCCCCATACAGGGAAGGAGAGCAACAGTTTTCACTAGATTTTGCACTGCAGTTCTGGTTCAGAGATTGGGGAAAAGAGTGGGGAAAAGAGCTGGAGAATATATAAAGAAAAATAGAAGAAAACAAACCAGTTCTATTGAACAACTGTTTAAAGTGAAATATAATTTTAGTGCAAGAAGATAGTACCAACCAATTCCATTGTCATCCAGAATTTCTGCAATTTGGAAATATTGCTTCGTTCCTCTATGCCACAATGATACTCGATTTGGGGCAGTATCGGTGAACATATTGTTACCTACACTCCTGGGTTCAGCTTCATAACTTCCTGACAGCCCTTAATAATGACAGTAGCAAAAGTAATATTAATGGATGCATAGCTTTGATGCAATTTTGTAAAATATGTGAATATGTGAAGTGTTTTGGGGGCTTTTGTTTCTGAATTACAATTCTTTGGCAACAGTTGAAAGTATCATGATTCCTTGCTGCTACTGTGACTGCCGGTTTTGGAAGTGTGTTGTTTTTTTACTCCAAAGTCTCTTCAAGGCTTTTAAACAGTGTGGGTCCCTCTTTCCCCAGATACACACACGTGGAACACGGTTATGGGACAGTCCAAAAATTAAGTAACACAAATTTGGCACGTTTTCAATAAAAATGTTCCAAATTTTCCATCTCCGCCTGTAATGTGCACTTGAAGTCTCCTTAAATAATTGTGTAACGCTTGCGAAATCTCTATTTACCAAAAGTAAAAATTAATTATATGACAATCAAAACAATTTATATTAATATTTATTGTGTTATATTGAAATAAATGATAAATAAAGTCAAAATTACTTGTCGAAGCTGACTGCACCTAGCATTGGGGAACAATTTTTACATGAAGAAAGGAAGGAAGAAAGAATTAGATTGGCAAAAAAAACTTCTGATACATGTTGTGAGAATGCATGAGTGAGAATCTACAACATCAATTTTGTTGTATTCTAGAATATACTATATATATATTTTGAATATTTTCTTCTTAAACTAAGATTCAATCAATATACCGTTGATGAAAAAATATTTTCAATTATTGCAAATGTTCATGCATCATAACTTTTCATTTATTTCTGTTTTAATGTAATTTGTGAATATTTAATGTTCTAGTGTAAGACTGAATATAAAATATGTGTAAGACTGAACATAAAATATTTCAGCAAAAAAAAGTAATTGTAACGTAACATGAGCCATGTAAAAAGGATAAGAGCAAGATCTTAATCTCAAAAAGTAGCAGGTGATTAAACTTCTGGAACTAGGAAACTACACACAAAGGCACATTCAGGGGCTCCCTGAAGTGTGTGTGAAGGTGGGGCAGTTGGGGCATCTTGCTTACTTAATTGAAGCACTGAATTAAAAGAAATCAAAACAAATAAAATGTAGGTACTTCTAATTTGTATTAACCACTATAAATTATTTCTGTTGCAAGAAACATGAATTTTGATTATGTATTTGGGGTGGGGGTGGAAGATTAATTTTCATTTGATTTATTTTGTCAAAGAACATTAAAAACTGAATGTGACATGTGTGGAGAAGTACAACCTGTTTCTGGAAATGTGCAATTTGAAACTCATTTTGACCTAAAAATCACCACCATATTCCGAGCAAAAAGCATACACTACACTCTGGACTAATGACCTTAGCAGTTGACGTGCCCAGAACCACTAATCAGTTAATAAATCAATCGATTGCTGTAATGCTACACCCACCATCACGTAGAGCAATCTCTACTATCCATGCATGTGCAGATGCTAAAAAGTGGTAGTGTGGTCGAAGTATTGCTGTAAGCTATGGTGTGGTTGATGGCCCTTTGATTACCTCTGTATGTAAGTTACTCAAAATACTTCCCCCCCCCCCAAAAAAAAACAACATAAGTTTTTAGAGAAAAGTCTCAGAATACTGTGGATGGATTCAATTTGGAAAGGTAAAAAAGGAAGTCGGAAGAGAAAAAAATTAAGTTTCCCATCAAGAGACCAATGTGCTGATTGACAGTGTTGATTGATAGATCTGAAAGGGTCTAACCTTGAGTGACGGGTGAACACAGGTTTCTTGATTACAATACAAAGATATACGTACATTTATGAGAAACTTTAAATAGAGACAAAGGATATAGGGATATAGCAATAACAAAAATCCGTGGCAAAATTGAATTTTTATTTCTTGATACAGGTTATTCTGTTCCACAAAGATAACATACACAAAAATAAAATACAGTAGTATCTTGAAAACATTGTTATTTTGAAAATACTCAGACTACAAGCTCTAATGAACGGTACCTACTATAAAACAATTACTTCACCATTATTTGAACATTAAAAAGATCTGGAATAGAAATAATACATGTTTGAAGAAGCTATCTTTCAATACTTCCCATAGCTACAAATAACATTTGACAATGTTTTTGATAAGTAAACATTATTGCACAATCTTTGCAATATCTCTTGAATAAACACACAAAGACATATACACTTGACAAGTGTAATCACGTAAAGACACAAAATATTAGTCATTTAGTTTCAAAACAATTTAAACTAGAAGATTATCCATAACAATATTCTAAATTCTGAATTTGTAGAACAACTCACATAAATCATGCTGTAACATTAGACGACATTAACTACGCACAATTTCAACTTGCAGAACTGCCCAAACTTTGAAACCAATCACCTCTTGGACAGAAGACAAGAGGACGGGACCACAAGCACTGTTTTTGAAAAAAACATTCAGCCTTTTGTATTTTATTCTAAGAATTTATTGTTTTTATTTGATTTTACTATATTGTGCTTTTCCTTGAAAAACATTTGTTGAGGTATGTTCTCTGCAAGACACATGAAACTTAACAGATGCATACATTTCTGTATACACCCATTCAAGACACTATCTCATACTCCTGCATACACAATTACATGTTTATTTCTAGCATTGATTCAAAAACACTGGAACGATATCAGTAAAGTTTTTTTAAATGTTATCTTAAAACAGAAAATAATTTCTATCCTTTCTTTCTGATATAAACAAGTTGCAATGATCTTTTACTATTGTTATTTTCTACAACATTTTCACATCATATGTCTCACAAAGCTCTAGTTTATAAGTTCATTGAGACATTACATTTGTTACAATAAGTAATATTGTGAAGCTCTAAAAATACTAACACAGCTACTTATAGAAAGAATTTGAGCACAAAGAGGTTATCAGAAACCTTTTTGAGAAGTAAACTGTTTGAAAAGTATTCCATTCTTGAATCTTGTTGGAATTTAGTCAGTAATATGCATATCTGCTTCATTATTAGGAGGTAGCAGCATGTAATTTGTTAGAGATACAATCTAGCTAGTAGTCACTGAACCAATATAAAAATTTTGAATTACTTAAATTTGAGACTATCCATTTGTCTGTCTGGAAGATTTTCCAGGGGGTTGTCTGTTCTTACTTCATGCTCGAATCTTCAATATTGCACCAGAAAGTGGTTCTAAATAGAACTTACTACCTTGACACAAGATACCATATGAATTAATGATTCAGATATCTGGTTTTAGAACTGGTATCTTGCAAAAATACATCAATACATTTTCATGCAACACAAATAAGATAATGACACTGACAAAAAACTATAATGCAATTTGCCAGTTAATATTCAGTCTGCCTTAATTTCAAGTTTGAGCGGTGCACATGAACTGGGTCCCACAAACAATTGTACCACATCTTGTCCTTCAAAACATTTTTTCATCACTGGTGTCAAGACTACCATTGCAGTGGCATTTTGATCCAATGAATTGTTGCATAACCTCAATACTTTTCAGTTTCCTCCAATTATTTCCACCAGTGATGTCACCTAAAAATGAAAATTAATTAGGTACATGTGGAGGACAGCCTGGAATTAATAAACAAAAATGAGGCAAAAATAAGATTTGGAAAACCAATAATAATGACCTAAAAACATATGGAGGGCTTAGGGCAGTAACAAGGTCAGCCGCAGTCAGTCTATTGTTAAACGAAATGTTAAAATTGAAAATACTTTGCTTAATCAGTAAAAGCTTCGCTTTGTTAGGATTGTGATTTTTGGTGTACAAAGGGTAAATCAACTGTAAATTAATAATAAATAAATATATTGATTTTGAAAGTGAGGCCTATCTTGCTACTAAACATGTCTTCCCATGTACAAAGGGCTTGGCGCAGTTACACTTTGACAAAAATAGAGTTTTAACATTTGTGAATAGTGGGAGGTTTGCTGCTGTTGGTGGTGCTCGACTTGTTACTGTCCCATATTAAATGTGAAGGGCGGGAGGGGGAGACTAGATTCAAATCAGCATTCTAGAGTTTTCATGATTTTGCTGCAAAGGCCAAAAGTCATTTGATAAGTTGTCCTTTTGAGTTCAATGTTGTATTATTAGTTTCACTGACTTTTTGCATGAATATATTCAATATCCTTTTACAGTTTTTCTATGAATGATAATTTGAATTTAGAATGTGGAATTTGCTCTCTTTGATGTTACAGAGAGTAAACATTTCAAGTTTTCATCTACAAGTTGCCTTTTACCTCCCCTTTATATTTGTTCATGTTGGTACAACCGCTTCAGCAGTTACATGGTTTTTACAAAGTTTATATTTGTGAATTATTATGAATTCAATAGCAGTGCTACTTAAGTACACAATGGAAGTTTTCAAGAGCAATAAAATGAAGGGCACTGAGTCTACAATCATGAACTGATTTGATACGCCATTATTATAGCTTCCACAGAGGAATTGTCTCGCCACACCAAGTAAACAATAGCTGTTGACACTTTGCAATGAACTTCCCATAATAAACATTATTATGGAAATGAAATATATAGCCAATTTTGTTAATTTTGGAGAGTACATAGTGTACTTTTTAAAACGAAATGTAGTTTCTTTTTGTTACGTCTCGATGTTACAACACACTTCACAAACTCTAGAGCTCGACCGAGATGTGACAAGGCATCTCATCCCAAAATCTTTTCGGGGGGGGGGAGTAACTAAGGCGAGTGTGCTGGCGAGGGGCGGGTGGGCGCTCACCTCACGCGCGCCGGGTGTGCTGCTGCAGCAGGCGGCGCACGCCGTCGGAGGCGGCGAGGTGCAGCGGCGTCTGGCGGCGGCTGTCGCAGGCCGAGGGGCTGGCGCCGGCCGCCAGGAGCGCGCGCGCCGCCGCCTCGCGGCCCCACTGCGCCGCCACGTGCAGCGGCGTGCGCCCCCACTTGTCGCGGCTCTCCAGGTCGGCGCCCGCCGCCAGCAGCAGCGCGAAGCACTGCGGGTGGCCCCAGCGCGCGGCCGCGTGCAGCGGCGACCACCCTGCGCAGCGCCCAGCGCCAACCTCCACTTACCCCAAGCGCCACTCGCACCCGGCCACTGGCGGATCCAGAGGGCCCTTGCTCCCCCTTCCTTTATTTAGCACAATTGATTTAAATATTTGTTCAAATTATTTAAACAATAATACCGTATAGTATCATATGCACTCAAAATGATCGGCTGGATTCGCCGCTACATACAGCCACCGCCGACCGCGAGAAGGTTCCGTGAGTCACACGGCTTTGGGCTCAGACTGCCAAAAGGCAACCAGTAGGCGAAACTGGTTGTGGCGCGTGTAGTGTGCACGCGGCCGTTCAGAACTGTTTTGCTATCGGGGGCGAGGCCTCGGTAACGGTGCTGGTGGCTGGACTGTGCTACTCGTGAATACATCCATTTAAACCAATGCTTTGCCATCGCACACACCGCAAGGTAGCGCTGCTGAGTATCTCCTTCTGAAGGGATTCTAGACTCAGTGGCGCGTCCGAGTAACCTAGTGTGAAGACTGCCAGACCTGTGTTCCATTGGTGGCGGGAAGTCGCCGCTCGTGTGAATACCTCCATTTAAAGTAATGCTTTGCCAGCATGCCACTTGAAAGCGCTGCTGAGTGGGGCCGTGTGAAGGGGCCCTACGTGGGAAGAAACGTAACGACATGGTCGACGTTGGCCCAGCCCACGGACAGAACCTGCAGTTACGTGGCCAGCATCAACTGTGAAAGCTGTCCCTTCTCATTGTAAACCTTTTACACCTATCGTTGCCCGGAAAATAACCACAATCATTTATTAGGGAGGAAAAATAATGCATTCTGTTAATATTTCCCCACCCTCTCTGCTCTGGTCATCCGCTCAGCCCCACCCTCCACATCACTGGCATGTTTCATAGGATACTCGTTGCTATGCGCGGCTGTAAGTACAATTGTTGCATCTCGCGAGAAGTTTCCACTTATGCCCTGCAATTACTCGAAGTCTAATTGCGCTATCGGAAGAAATCAAAATGCATTTGGAACATTTTAGGAGTTTCCACAAATGCTTTACTTGTTTTCGTGCATTCAGTAACAATTGTGGAGATATTGGAGAAAAATAGAACTCTGAAATACTGACATTCCAATTTTATGTATACAAGTAATACAAATTCGTAATATTCTTCATTTTTTTCCATAGCCTGAAAATACAAGTCGTATATTTAAGGGATGTCGTAGCCCACCTAAAATTTATCTTTAACGCAAATAAAGGAAAATGACTGCGACATACATTAATTGTTATTTATTTTTACATGAGTGAAAGTGTGTAGAGTATTACGTGCGAGTTAGTTGTTTATTCACGAGAGCTTATGCATGAAAGAAGATACGACTAACAAGAAGGAAATGGTTTATCCATCAGATCACCTTTTAAAGAATGTGCCATATATTTTAGTAGTGTACCTATACGATTGATTGCATTGAATACTTGCAGTGTATAAATATTGGCTCGGGTGGTAGCAATCGCGTGGGTTGGTTGCGCTGAGAACGGATGGAGACGATTGAAGAAGAAATGAAGGCGCTAAGGGCGTAGAGGAGGGGGAAAGAAGAGAAGCAAGTGAAGGGGGCCTGACCGCTGTGGTTCTTGCAGCCGGCGTGCGCGCCGCGGCGCAGCAGCAGCTGCACGGTGGCGCTGTGGCCGTTCTCGGCGGCGCAGTGCAGCGCCGTCGCGTCGAAGATGTCGCGCGCGTGCACGTCGGCGCCGGAGTCCAGCAGCGCGCGCACCGCCTCCGTGTTGCCGCACTCCGCCGCCCGCCGCAGCGCCTACGCACGCAACACACACACACATACCAGCTGGCACGGGCGCCGGGCCCCACGACTGTCATCCGAACGGGAGCTTCGTCACGACAGCTAAGTCTTATGTCCCCACACGTCTCTCATTAAAAGGAATCTGTCGTAGTTAATGGTACGTCTGTCTTCTTAGCCTTTAAGGACGAGGCTGGGGGGTGAACTGCGAAGCTGTGTCCGAGCGAAGGCGAATCCTTAAAGGGGCCCGTAACACACACATTTTAAATTAAAATTTCAAATTTTGGAGGAAGTTAGCTGACATGGCCTTCGGTGTTCTCTCGATGGCCGAATGGGTTATTAGTGGACTGTTTACAGAAATGTCTGGTAATTTCGATGCAAATGTGTTTCGAAATGTCGTTTTTCGTGCCTAAAGGAGCAGCCACACGTTGCGCTTCCATCTTTTGGAAATCGGGAACTAATTACATAGAATAATAATAATTGAAAATCGCAAAATGAAACAAATGTTCGATGTGCAATTGAAGATGTTGTGGTACACATTTAAATGATTGATCAATTACAGAGTTCAAGTTGGTGTTTATATTTTAATATGCTGAAAAAATATGTTTGACATGTCCATGTAAGTAACTCACTTTCGTATCATTTGAAATATTATCCAGATAATTTTAAAAGTTATAATTTTGACATTTGTGAAGGAAAATATTAGTTTTATGTTTTGCATTATTCCGGAAGATGCGGTTTGTAGCGACAAGCCATTCAAAGATTGCTTCAGTGAACAATTTGCGAGCATCGATAAAATCTACACCCACAAGTGTGGTTCAGCTACTTGTATTTTAATGCCCGCCACATTACACCATCTGCCATAGATTTAATCGCCTAATGTTGATCTGAGAAACCACGGAAAACTACCGATCAGAGCGGCCGGCCGCTAGAATTCTTCTCCAGACAGCGACTTCACTGGACGTACGTAGCTCGAGTGGCAAATGCTGCCGCCGTCAGGAGCGGGGCCCCAGTGCCTGCAGCGCCCTCGCGTGCTGCCCTCGGGGGCGGGGGCGGTGGTACTGACCTGCGCGGCGTCGGCGGGCCGCGCGCGGGCCGGGCCGGGGGCCCGCCGGGCGGGGGCGGCGCGAAGGCCGGGGCGAAGGGCCGTCCGCGGCGCCCGCCTCCCCACCTTTCCTCCTCCTCGCCCCTGCTGCCGGGCTCCCGCGGGGCGGGGGCCGGGGGCGGGGCGGGCGGGTGCGCGCTGCTCGAGCTGCGGCCAGCAGGCGCGTCACCGCGCGGGAACATGGATTTTTGCAGGGGCGCGGTTGCAGCCGCCGGCTCCAGCCGCCCATGCGGCCCTCCAGCGAAGCTGCCTCGAGGGACGGCGGCGGGCGCTGCGCCCCCAGCTGCAGCGCGTACGCCAGACGGCCCTCCGACCCCGGCGCCTCCGCCTAGCGACCCCACGTCCATGTTAGGCCTCCTTCACAATGCAAACTCAACAACGCAAACAAATGTAGCAGCGAAACGTAGAAATGAGTTATAAAGCGAGACTATTCACAGCGCCTTGACTGAACGGTACACGTATATCCGTAAACTTAAAGGAGTTCACACGCACCAAACTTTTACGTGAAGTTTACGTCGGAATTCTACCAAAGACCAACCGGAGAGCAGCATCAAAACAAACATGGTGGATTTCGGATTGTGTTCAAGAAGTTTGTGGATGTTATTTCTATACTGTTACGTACTGAGCTAGTTTGCGATCTTTTTTCATACGAGTAGTGAATTCAAAGTAAGAATTTGGGGCATTTTCCTTGTGACTAACTTGACGTGGCGAATAAAATAATTACGTTTGACGAATTACTCGTGAATTTGGTACAAGAGAATCCTTGGTTATAAAATAAAAGGAAATGCGAGCATTAATACAACATCTACTCTCATTTCTGTATAAAGACAAATTGACAGGAAAATCGCAGAAAAAGCTAGAAACCATGGCGAAAAGAATTTTCCACCATGCTAAAAACGAATCGATGAAGTTTCAAAACGTTGAAATCTTATTGGTTCAGGCCACCGGGGATCCGGGGGAATGGGGACACGCCTGCCCCGAAAGGTCAAGAGTTTGCGTTTTCCTTCCATAATTTGTCAAAATGTATTTAAATATTTCGTTATGTTCGATTAATTGAAACAATTACATTGTATAGTATCATATCTACAGTATACAATTAATACCCAATATAATAAGAAATGTGTTTATTATCAATATCAGGGGGCGGGCTTTAATGAAATGTCATTTTTTTCTTTTCCGTTTAGTATACAAATTAATTTTGTTATGAAGAAACGAAATGACCCATTTTTATACGCCATTTTTTTTAAAAAAAAATTTTCGTCGATTTCGACTAATTTTTCACCCTTTACGTCAATTTTATTTTTACATTTTCGCTGATTTCATGGATTTTAATATATTTTTAATGGTACTTGCTTCAAACAATATTTACGAGGTGCAACAAATGTAGTAGTCTATTCGATTTCCTCGCTCATAAATTGTAATGTCAGCCGTTGTGAGTACTATGTAATCTAAGGTTCCTTTTACGTTCATAGGCACCATTGTCAGATCGGCCGATCTCACGATATATGAAGGAAGAGATTTTCTTTTAAAGAACAGTCCAAACCCAAAGTTTGCGACCTGAGTTCACTTGAACAAAAGGAAGAAGCCTCGCTGACATCAGTAACATACCCAACAGGTTGAGTTGTTCATCTGAAATGGTTTTGATCAAATTTTTTACGTCTCCTTTCTTGGTTTTTATTGCATTTTTAAAGCATTTAATTGATCATTTATGGCCGTTTTAGGTCATTAAAATTGGCCCACTAATCATCACTGTGCTCACTTTTACTTGTAAATCTTACTCCTTAGTTTACGGCATTACATTACGTTTACGTTTGCATTGTGAATGAGGTCTTAGCAAACATCGATGTCCAAATTAAAACATCGACTACAAATCATAGATTTTTTCAACATCGATGTTTTCAAGCTGGTTTAGTAACATCTAACAAACAAATTTTAAGTTCAAAGTGTTTGTGTTTATTAATTGGTCGAATAAAGCGAACAAGAAGGGACAGAGTGCGTTTCTTAACCACTTCTCAATATGCGTAATGAATTTGAAGGAAGAGGAAATGCAAGGATGTGAGATAAGAGGAGGTCATCTAGGTCGAGCTAGTTTGGTCGATGAACGTAGGACAATCAGCGTTCCTTCGTTTGCAAGCCATGAACTAACAGTGTTACCAGAGTTGTATTTCATACTTTAACTTTTACGGTATTGTGATCATGGGAACTTTTTATTCAGAAACAAAATATTGAAAACACATGGACCCCAATACATCGTTGTTTTGGAAGCATGGGCAATGAGTTCTTCCAAAATATCGATGTCGTACGCCTACCTCCAGCTCGTCGTGCAGGCCGCCGGCGCCAGTCCCGGGCGCTTTGGCGTCGGCGCCGCGCAGCGACGGCGCTCGCGTTCGCGCCGCCGCTTCGCCCTCCTCCGGCCCCGCCGCCGCCCGCCACGCCGCCACCGGCACTGGAGGCGCGCGTCCCCACCCGATTCGCGCTCGACCAGCGCTTTTGTTGCGCAGCGCGTTCCTCGCCTGAGGAGGCAGCGCGTCGAGCGCCAGCGCCCGGCCGCCGCCTCCCGCCGGCCGCCTCCACGCGCCCGCGCCAGCGCCGCCGCCAAACTGCGTCGCGCGCCGCGCCACCGCCGCCTCCACCAGCGCCTCCACGCCGCCCGGCACGCCCCCCGCCGCCTCCTCCTCCTCCTGCGCGCACACGACACACCGCTCACGCACTCCCCACATTACTCCAAGGGACCGCTCCGACACTGCAGGTTATGCTATATTGTGCTCAGTTTAGGCGTTCCTTTGCAATTGGCTCACTTGTAAAGCATTGGTCACTTCTATAAGTAATTTCTTTCATATAGAGATATTACTCGAAGAAGGGACCGCTTTGACAGTTACTGCTCGCAGCATAACTGCAGGTAATGCGCGTGTGATCAAGGAGTTTATGAGTTCGATTGTAGATGGCTCGCATCTACATGCCTTCAACCTTTTCCAATGCTATCAACCAACTTGACTTTCATTTGTTTTCTGACCAGTCAAATCCATCCCTTCTTAGAGTAATTTCTTCAGCGATTACACTAAGAAGGAACGATTTTGACAGTTACTGCTCATTGCATAACTACAGGTAATGCACATGTGTTCAATGAGTTAATGCGTTTGTTTGCAGATGACTCGCATATAAATGCCTGCGACATCCCTTCCAATGCCATCGTCCAGCATGGCTCATTTGTTGTCCGATCGTCAAAGAGGTCCCTTCTTAGATGAACTTCTCTATATAACATTCTAGCAACTCTCTATTATGTCTTCGATTGTTATAATTCACCCTTTACTCCTGAATGCTGCCTGACGGGGCTATCGGGTGAAAGGATATTAAATACCGCCTGGAGGTCTGGTTCTGCGTCTCTCTGCATTTACGGTCTCTAACCTGCGCAGTTTTCGCCATTCGCCTCATTTCGCTTTTTGAGGCTTCATACAACGTACTACAAACAAATCAAAATATCACTTTGAAACTTACAAAGCCTTGAGTTCTTTGCGATCGATCAGGGAATATCAACTTGTAAGAAAATCGACAGAACGGTCCAAGCGATAGCGTTGACCACAGACGGCAGAGACGTTTTGCCGTCAATCGATTTTTCGGTATCAAGGACCCACAAAACATGGATTCGGGCCACACCACGACTTAGAGGATTTTTTTTCTTAATTTAGCAACAGGATTTATCCACTTTTTCTTTACCAGGGCCCTGAAAGAAGTCTTTCTACCAAAAATTCGTTTTTCGGAGCACGATTACAGAACTTTCTCTTCTTACCAAGTACCTTCGTAAGGGCGAGAAAGTAAGAGCAAAACTATAATTGCGGTTACTTCAAACGTAAGCTAGAAAACAACCTGCCACCAACACCAAGCAGTGCCGGAGCTGGACACTTTTGGGCCCAGGGCAATGCTAAATCGTAGCCCCTTCCCCCTACAAAATTAAAATGTGAAAGTCTACGTTATAACTATTTTAATTATAAAAAAATGTGTTGAAATATACGACTAGTGTGCTGCGACTTATAAAACTACGATGACGATTTTCTCCAGTTGTAATTTCTTTCGTCCGCACCGTGTCGTCGTCGTGGGCGTCGCTGTCCGGGAGGCGGTGGCGGCGGCGGTTGCGCCGGCGCTCCATCATGGTCTCCAGCGTCTCCTCGGCGCGCTTCCACGTGGCGTCCATCTCCTCCGCCATGAGCGCCACCTGCGCCAGCTGCTCCGCCAGCGGCCGCCCGCCCTCGCCCAGCGCCGCCTGCGCCATCGCTCTCGCCCCCCGCCTCCCCCTCACCGACCTGCAACCGAATGCCAACACACTGCAAAATTCGGGAGGCAAGGGTAAATAAAAATGCTGATTTATGGTCTAAAGAAAGGATCTTATAATTATTGTAGAACTGAACATCTAGTTATTGAAGCAACAGTTATAGAAAAGAAACGCACTGGTAACTACGGTGTATACAATTATGTTGATGTAGCAATCATTGTCACTTGGAGGAACTTGGAAAGTCAATAATTTTCTTTTGCCGCAAGGAACTGGATCTGCTTGATGCAATCGCTACGATGCGTAGACATTTTCGCACGCTACGTTGCATTGTCTGATAATCCTATAGAGTATTTGAATATGTACGGTACATTTTTTTGATAATCCGAACTTTTTCGAATCCGAGCGGACCACACCCCCAATTAGTTTGGAATACCGAGTTTCAACTGTACTTGCCTTTCGCTAGCGCGAGAACGCACCAGGGAACCAAAATATGCGAAGTAAGGGAGATGGCGATTCCGGGCGCGACAATTGCTAAGGTTCTGTAAGAGCAGTGCATGTTCTTATCGCGAGAGGTGGCGGGTGTCTTCCCCTGCAAGGGGGATGGCAAGGGGATGTAAATGTAAGTGTGCGTAAGTAAGGGATGGTGATAACACCAGGAAGAGGAAGGAAAGATCGCGCGCGATCCTTGTTCGGTTTGTTAGGGTACTGCACTGAATTCGCCTGATGTTGATCGGATCATGGTGAACTCCCGATCAGAAAAAGGTAAAAAAATGACTTATTAGACGAAAAATTCAAAAAATGTCAAATACAAATTGGCCGTCCTTCGGTCATACAATACAATTTATACCTATACTAAAATGCATTGTTCTAAAGTGAAAAGAATGACATTTCATTAAAATATGCCCCCTACACATTACTACGCTACCACCGCGGGCAAACATTCAATTAATTATTTTCCTTCAGACTGAATTCTCTTGCCAATTTAAATCTGTTACTTGAAACACAAGACGTCTTCACATATAAAATACTGCTTTTGATAATTCGAAATTGAAATATCCACTACTGCTAAGTATATAATAAAGTAACAAAGTAAAAAGTTTAAAGTAAAGCAAAGCTGCAAAACAGGTTTGCACTTTAATATATAATTATTTTAACTTGTGTGGTCGTTGCATTTATTTGTTGTGATGAAGTTGAAGATGACAATATTAGCAAATGATGTATTTCATCGTTAGTTTACTTTATTTTGTACTTGTGTTCTTCGAACTCATTTATATGATTTTGTCGTGATTAAACCTGAATTTTTAGATAATAGTTCAACACAAAATTCTTATTTTATTTCAAACAATTAAAAACATCATTAAAACATTTAAATGTGTTTATCCATTATGTAAGGTGTCTTACGATATTTTGAAAAAGGTGTGGTATTTGTGGGATTGGGGGAATATTTTTGCAATCTCCGCGACTTACAGAGGTAACGCGTACGTGAAAGAGAGACCACTCACCTTCCCTGCTGATCGCAAGCGCTGTCGGCACACAATCCGCAGTGCACCTCAGCATTACATCCGGTGACGATGTGATGCGAATCAAGATCGTCAAGGAACGTAATGCCACGTCCCCGTTGCGGGCTGCGTCGACGGCAGTGCTGACGGTTTCGTCAACGAGGCCGCTCTTCCACTCTGCCGCCGCCTCTGGCACCGCCGTCGATCCCCCGTGCACCCCGCCGCTCTATCTGCAAGGGAACAGAGTTTGCATAGGCTTTCACGAACTGACATACTATGAATCCTGTGTAAAAAAAAGCCCGTAAAGGGACAACCTGTGATAATTAAAATTTATTTATAGGCCGCCACCGGTAGGTGCTAACCGAAGGGTCAGAGTTCCTGTTGGTAATGAGTTCCTATCCCCAACCTTTTAAGAGGCCTCAATCACCTCTTTTCGTGGTCTCGGGAATGCACAAATGACATCAAGTGAAACGGGATCCCTCCTGGGGATAGTGAGGGTAAAGACCTAAATTCTTCATTGACCTGTTCCCGAAGCTTCTCAAATGAGCTCTTACTCGCCTCTATAGATTGTCTAGGTTCACAGTTAAGTGGCAAATTGAGGCGCTTAGATATTCCTATATTAATAAAATAGCTAACGTACCACGGTTCAACTGATATAATCGTAGTGGGTTAGGAATGACAGGGGATTTCCACTATGAATGCCAGGTAAAACCGTCGAAATCTGGGTAACTTTGGGTGATCTGATGTTCAGAACACGCAGAGGCGTAGCTAATATACTTATCGAAGAGAAGTTCATTGCAAATTCATGGAATCCATTGCAAATTTCCCTGCAACATTTTGAAATTAATTTGTTTTGTGAGGGGAAGACAGCAGCCGTGGTTGAGGCAACAAAACCCAAGTGAGGGGCTACAGTGGAGACAGACCCCGATCTTTCTCCCTGGGCTTCATTTTCAGTGAGGACACAGTCGGCGCGTCGCAGCGAAGCCAGCGCTAGGCATCAAATCCTTACGAGCGCAGGACGAATAATTTTGCATGCTGGAGTAGACATTTTTTCTCTCGTCCGGTTGGGTTCCATTTCCATGCTGTCCGTCACTACGCTTGTGAACGACTGTTGTATGTGCCGTGCTCACTGCATTAACTGTGAGAGTTCTGTAATTCAAATCAGCAAGGTGGCCGAGGTTTGTATGCCGGCGGGGAGAGGTGTGCATTCTTCGCGGTTTTCCCGGCCCGCGCTCGCTCGCCCCTTCCTGTCGAGGCCTCCCGCTCTCGCCGTCGGTCGCCAGTGAACTCCGCTCCGGCGATCTGCGCGTCGCAAGACTTGGCCGCCACTTCGGGGTAAATATCGGATGGTATGTTGCAGGAAAAGGAAGGAACACTACATTTTTCTAAAATATACAATCAGTAATTTCCATTTAAAAATTCAATTTTTAAACGAAGTAACACATTATTTTTAAAATTAATATTATACACAACTACAAAATTCATTTTTGTCTCTCCGAGGCACCAGAGAATATGACGTTTTTGGAACTACGAACTTCCTCTGAATTAAAAGGAAGGCGATTCACAAGCTAGCAGATTCTGAGACAAGTTTATTTCTTTGTATAGACTAGACATCTGATGTCCAGGAAAATTACGTTTAGTGAACATAATTAAATGCCTTTGATATATTTACACGAATTAGGAAAAATTAACAATCCCGAAAAAAAAATTATTTTGCCTATTTTGGGTAAATGTATCTTAAGACATTAAACTTTTAAAAAACTTTTTTATTGGAATAATTTTCAATTTTTCCTAATCTCAATCAAACGGCATTCATCCTTTCATTTTTTTCTCCAGCTGTAGACTGAAGAAGTGATTTGAGTTTTAATGTAACATTCTGCATCTTCATTTGTGTCTTTGTATTCTGCATTTTTATTTATTCTGTAAACTGACGCCAAAACCTCGCTTCGTTCGCAATCCTGGCGGTGGATCGTAGGCGAAGCCGGGACTCGGTTTCGGGTAGCAACCATAACACTCACTCCATCCACTGAGCGACGGCGCGGAGCCCCGCGATAATCGAACCGTTCTTTTGCTCCGAATGCAGAGCTGTGCTTCATGTGCCTATTATTTATCAGTGTGTTGTGGCAAGGTGGTCCGTCGCAGACATTTTCCTTCCCTTATATCCATTCGTTGTAGACCCATTGGGGTGGCGAAGGAGCAAGCGGTAGAGGCATGACCATGCTTATTACCCTGACCTTCCCTCACCTCGGACCTTCGCAGGGCTGGTCGCTGCCAGAGACGCTCAGTATGGGCTTACGAGTCACCCAATACTGCCCGATGGGTGCGCGTGGCTCGTAAGTCGAGGTTAAGCAACGTCGGGATATGCAACTGACAAGTACACTCGGAAATACGTGTCTACAGGCTACATCAGTCTGAAGTTTGGGAATTAGGCAAGTGCCGTACAATGCCCCGGCACCAGCCGGGAAGACAGGGCCTGTACCCGAATGGGAAAGATATGCCTTTGTAGAGGTTACGAAAAGTACATTTCAAACTCATTACTAGAAAAAATTGCCGTGCTGTTCACCCACTTTATTTTGTTATTGCTTCACCAGTGACAACATGAATGTCACTCTTTATTTTAAAAACCTCACATTTTTAACTCGAGTTATGCTAGAAATTACACACCGACAACCAATTAGGGAATTCTAATGTTTTATTCTATTTTTCTGGGTACATCTAAAGTTACAGTATAAAATTATATCCAACGTGCCCGCTACTATTCTTAAACTATATTGAATTATACCGAGAGTCCACAGAATTCACAACCCGTGTCGTTCCTACGACCCAGTATTTTCATATTAACTTGTTTTTTACTTTCAGGATTCAAAGCGATTCTGTCACGGAATGCACCACACTAGGCTTACCGTGCGCCGTAAGCGAGGTGTTACGGTTATAAGTTTTTATTTTACTTTTGCCCACGAAGGATTCTACAGCTAGTTATAAATTTTCTGCAAGGAACAGCTGTTTTTCTTCCCAAAAAGTTGCAGGAAATCGCTTGGAAAATTCGCATCCTTCGATCGTTAACAAACTCCTAAAAAGTTATGACCAAACAATCCATTGGCTCTGACTGAGGAAATCACGCCTGTCAATAAGTAGGATTATTCTCCCAACAGCCAATGCAGGTCTGCTCGATAATTAACCAGAATGACTAGCATACAAATATTATTAAAACTACTTATACATTTATTTTGTGTTCGAGACTTCAGCAGGGGAGCCGTCAATAGCAATGTTCCCTGTTTTCGTTTCGCACCAGGATTCCTTTTAACTTAGTTTCCAGCTCGAGTCGAGGAAAGTTTTCGAGCAGGGACGCCTGGTGAGTGATTTTTTCCAATACATTTTTTCCAATTAAAATATATGATGTGTTTACGCGTGACAACTTCAAATTGCATTAGGTCGGAAAATGACAGGAAGGATTAAATTTGGCCTGCCATTTTTTGCAAGTCACGACTGTGACCTGGCACCCAGAGGATTTTTCCTTCGAAAATCCACCGCCCCCAGCTGGGATTGGACCCACAAATTTGGGTTTTGGATAATTCCCTTGTTACTGGGGCGTCAGGTAATACCACTAATAGGCAAGAATGAAATTACAACACTGGGAGGTTCAGAAAAAACAAGGATTTAGAGGGCAGGCCGTTAAATTCTAGATACCGGAGAGAGTTCATAATTGGTGCCACCAGTCTCTTCGCACTCATGAAGTGACGGTCCGGGCACTTCTTAGCTTCAAATCCCCCTCCCCTCACCAAAGGAGGGAGGTGAAAAACGCTCACCCGATTGTCACTTCATTTCTTGCGAGCCACTCCAACGCTAGCCGGGAAACGAAGCGTTCTGTGAGACTGGCGGTTCTGGCGGTTTCTCTCAAAATGGCGGCGAAGTGGACACGCAATTTCGTTTCGTTGGCTCGAGTATCTTTTCTGTGCAAAGGCAAGGCGATGGCACAGGCAGAAAAGAAGCCTCACCCGACTTAGCAAACGCCTGCCCTCACAGGCACAATGAGTCATCGCCAGAGGCGTACCCATCCCACACAGCCAATTTGCACTTTATGCTGTCATGCACCACGTACGACTGGGAGAGCGTGAGAATGCCAGCTGCGAGAATTACCCTCCAATCTCACCATGATTTGAATAAGAGCTTTCTCCCCTTTGGAACATCGGGTCAACACCAGCGGGAAAAGCCACCGCCACACACTTGTAAAGTTCTCCCACCGGACTGGAAGGCACCGACAGGGTAGTTACACGTCACCCTCTTCCTCTCTCAAGGACAGAAAGGAGACCGAAAACAAAAAGTTCTTAAAGCCTAGATTAATGTGCCAACCCTCATTCTCTTATTGCTGGAGGGGAGGGGATGTTTTCGCTATTCAGACGTTTGTAGCGATATCACAGACAACAGCAACCTTGGGCTGAAGTTACCCCTCCTCCCTCACAGCAACAGAATGTGCACAGGAGGAAGAAGGATCATCATGACGGATGGATGAAGAGGTTTGCTTCTCTGAGAGGGATTAAAACATTATATACATAGGATTTAATACATAATAAACAGATACGGAAAAAGAACACAAAACAAAATTAATATCTCTATCACTTTCGGGCAATTAAACAATATTCCCTCAACTCCATGCAAGTAAACTCTTCGCAGTTATTTGGCGATAAACCCATGACAGCGAACGCCACTCAAATTGCACGTCAGTAGGTCTAAGTAGTTAGGCAAGGCCGGTCATTCAAGAAAAGTTATTTCCAAACCAAACAAGTCCAATACACACCTGTCTAAATACGTAGTAGGTCTAAGACATCATTCCAATTCAATGTTAATAGGAATGATACCGAAATGAAGTACTTACTCCTTACGTATTACAATTAGTATGACATTTACAGTTAACCATAAAGGAAAGACAGTTCTGGTACGTAAGTATTTATTTTCGTCCGACAATGAAAAGGATGCGCGAAAATATACTAGTGAGGCGCAAAAACACATTTGCAATTGAGCCCCTTGGAGTACATATACGTATGTTAAGGTTAGAAATTACAGCGAACAATTCCGTGCAGATCCAGATGGGGTGAACGATATGAAAGGAAACAGTGGGTCCTTCATGAAGCAAACCTTCCATCATCGTCAGTTCCAGACGAAAAGGGGAAAGTACGAAATGAGTACTTGAAACTGAAATGTACAAAACCATAAATGTGTCTTGTTCTTTTGTTTCCTGTTCGCCATGCATAAACATTGAAATCTAAAGCATCTCACATACATTCCACTTAGACCTAAGCTGCATTTAGACCTTTCACGGACCTAATGTTCTTGGACTTGCTTTATTCGGCCGCCTTCACACGGGGCCACCACTCAGTGCCGCGATCAAGAAGCGCTGTCTTTCACAAATATCCATCGCGAGGCGCCACTGAGGGCGGTAAAGCGGGGAGACATGAGTCCCACCGCCGCGGGGGCCAGCGGCCGCCAGACACTCAGGAGCATGTACACTTGGCCACTCGGAGGAGTGGCCCAGTGTAAAGGCTGTGTCCTGTCCTGGCGGTAGTGCGGTGCGCCACTCAGAAGCCCTGCTGAGTGGCCTCGTGTGAACGGGCCCCTTAACACGGCGCCGCTCAGCAGAGCTTCCAAAAGGCGCGTATGAGGGCAAAGCATTGGCTTAATTTGGATTATTCATTGGATTATTCACACGTCGCGCTGTTGTTGCACTCGGTGGCGAACTCCCGCCACCGCTAACAGAACCCTCTTGAAAATGCGGACGAACTTTTAAGGCCCCTTCTCACGACACCGCTTCCGAGTGGCGTGCATTGATTTAAATGGAGGTATTCACACGTAGTGCTGCTGTGTCTACCAGTGGCGAACTACTGCCAGCGCTAACAAAACAGTTCTAAATGGCAGCGTTCACACTAGACGCGGCGCTGAACCGATTTTTACGTGCTGGCTGCCTTTCGGTCAGCCGTGCCCACAGCGATGTGACTCACTAAACCTTTCTCTCTAGTGTGAAGCTTCTCGGTGGCGCCTCCCAGTGGCTCCGCGTGAAGGCGCGTTTAGACCTTCCGTCGTTAGACCTACTGACGTGTGTGGCCCCTCGTACTCACCAATAAAACCGGCCGGCGCCCACGGGGCCTCGGTGGGGCCCTGCCTGGGAGGGGCGGCCGCTCCAGCCCTGCTGCTCCCGCGCGGGGCCGCCGGCGGGCGCGTCGCGACGCGACCCCCTCACCTCGGCCCGGCCTCGCCCCAAGGCGCTCCGGGCCCCCCCGGCCGCCGCACCCCGCGGCCCGCCCCACTCGCCGGCCGGCCGCCGGGGCGACGCCTCGTCCAGAGCAGAAATCCCTTGGCGGAATACCCTGGCCTCCTGTGGGTTCCGGCCGGTGGCCCAGGGCGGGCCGGCGGCGGCGGCGTCCGGCGGGTAACCGCGGGCCCCGTACCTCTCACGGGACGTCTCCCTCGGAGGCCGTTCGGGTTCGGCGTGCCTGGAGAACCTGTCTCGGGGGGGAGCCGGTCGGGACTCGCCTGCCGGCGGGCTCCTCGCAGGGCCGACGGCTTCCGCTTCAAGCTCCCGGCGCGAAGGATAACTGTCTCCAGCCGTGGTTTTGGGCCGCCTTCCGGTTGCGACAGCGTCCTCGCGCTCCCGAGATGCGACCCACGGAGGTCTACCGGCTCGGGATGGGCCCCATGGAGACCGCTCGTCTGCAGCGACTGAGAGTCTCTCTCGGGATCTATCTCTTGGAGGCTCATCAACTGTTGCATCACGGTTTGTGTAACCATCCCGTGACGTTCCCCACTGTGGTCTCCCATCTTCAACAGACAAATCACGGTTGATGTTGACGGCACGCTGGGGCGGTGGGCGTCTGTCGGCGACTGTGGGTTCGTGATTGGGGAATGTGCCTCGAGACGAGGCCCAAGGAGGCCTCTCGTCTACTTCCATTGCTGAACCACGATTCGGAAAGCTTTCTCTTGAAGGGCCGATTCTGTCTCCAGACGTACCTCGTAGAGGGCCGCGAGGTTCAGTGTCTCTGCCCCGTCTCTCGAAGCTATCTCCAGACGCGGCCCATGGAGGTCTGTTATCTTTCCGGGTATCTTCTCGAGACGTACTTCTCGGCGGTCTAATACTTTCGGGAGCTGCACTGCGGTTAGAGAAATCGCCGCGAGATCCTGTCCACTCAGGTTTCGGGGGTTCGTTTATTCCCTTGTCTTGTCGCGCCCACGGAGGGGCAACCTCGTCTGCCCCAGGTCCCGGAATCGGCCGCCGTTCACGAGGCCTGCCTCTCAACGAAACATCCCGAGCCGAAGCCCACTGCGGTCTACCGGCGTCGCTTGTTGAACCACGGGTCAAGGACCTGTCTCGAGGCGCGCCCCGTCTATCGTCCTCGGTCGTCGATCCTCTGTTTGAAAACCTATCTCGGGAAGTGTCTCTTAGAATTCCCTCCGGTGCGTGTGTTCCGCTTCGGTTGCGATCTCGAGACGCAGCCCACGGAACGCCATCGTCTTCGACCGCTCGTCCTCTGTTTGGGAATCTTTCGCGAGATATGCCCCTAGGGTGGCGATCAGCTTCCACCTCTGAGCCTTGATAAACCTCCTGGGGCCTGTCCCGCGGACGTCCAATAGTGTCAATTGTAGCTCGATTTGAAAACCTTTCTGGAGACATACCCCTCGGCGGGACTTGGCTTGCCGGGCCGCGAGGTAAGTAACTATCTGGCGGTCCCCGTGGGTGCATGTCAGCTTCGACTGCGTGGCCGAGGTCCACGTAATCTCTGCGCCTAACAGGCGGTGGTCTTTCGGATTCGGGTAGCAGCCCACTGTTTGAGTAGGTGTCTCGGGACGCGTCCCGTGGCCGCCTATCGGCTTCAGCGACGTAGCGATTCTCTGAATATTCTAGATTACGCGAAGGCCTTCCAGCATCAGGCCCAGAGTAACTGACTTGATGTCTCGTCAGCTGCCGTCTATCGGGTTCTGTTTCGAAACGGCGATTTGGAGAATGACGAGATCGGCTTCTGGGACGCCTATCTGCCGAGAACCTGTCTCGAGAGCTCGCAAGGCGCGCTCCGTCGTCCACAGAGGCAGATCCGCGATCGAAAAACCTGTCACGGGGCGCGTTCCACTGAGGCCCATCAACGTCGGTCGAAGAGTCGCGCCGAGGGTTGTCTCTTGGACGCCGGGCTTCCTCAGATGTGTGACCCCGGGGGGCCCAAGGAGGTCTGTCGGACTCGGTCGTGAATACACGATCTCTGGACACATCCCTTCGAGGTCTCTCAGCTTCGCTGACCGGAGGGCGGGATGGGTAATCGCCTCGACGTCTCTCTCGCACGGGTCTCTCAGACTCGGGCAGTGAGCCATGTGTGGGATTTCTATTCAGCGGTGCTATTTGCGTGACTTCGTGGCTTGCAGGATTGAAGTTTGGATTCCCTCTTGTAAAGCCCTGTTCTCTCTCCAGATCACTTGGCGGTAGGCCGCGTTTCATTTGACCACTTGGTTCAACCATTTGAGGGTCAAATCTTGGCTCGTTTCGAGGGGGCACGGGAGCCATATTGTAAGAGCTGGGACCTGTTTGAGAAGGCATAGGCCCTTGGGGAGGGCCTGGAGGGCACACAGCTAAGAATGGTTTTGGAGGTCCGTTGTCAAACATCGGGTTTTGATTTGGGGGTACATTTCCAAACATGCGATTTTGATTTGGAGGCTCATTGCCAAACATTGGGTTTTGATTTGGGTGCCGGTTACCAAACATCGGGTTTTGATTTGGAGGTCCGCTACCAAACATCGGGTTTTGATTTGGAGGTCCGCTACCAAACATCGGGTTTTGATTTGGGGGTCCGCTGCCAAACATCGAGTTTTTATTTGGGGGTCCGCTGCCAAACATCGAGTTTTGATTTGGGGGTCCGCTGCCAAACATCGGGTTTTGATTTGGAGGTCCGCTGCCAAACATCGGATTTTGATTTGGGGGTCCGCCGCCAAACATTGGGTTTTGATTCAGGGGTCCGTTTCCAAACATTGGGTTTTGATTCGGGAGTCCGTTGCCCCACATCGGATTTGGATGTGGAGGGCCCGGGTTCGCCCCCTTTGGCCCTACGTGCCAAGGCGGAGATCCGTGCGAGGGGGGCGGCGCACCCACCGGGCGCGGCCCAAGCGCGCTTCCCTCAGGCTCAATACCCGTCGCGAGCGCGCCTGGGCCCCCTGGACCTTGCACACCCTCAAATTGAGGAGGCCGTGGGAGTTTGGGATTCCACCACTTATTCCAAGGCCGAGACGTACCTTCTTTCGGATCTTTGGGAATGTACACCGTGACTTCCACGTTTTTCTCGAACTTCGCATCCGGTTTAAGCTGAAGCACTCTCTTTCTAAAGTTGATTTTAAAGTCGTCTTTGATGAGCTTCGCCGCCGACTGGTGGTCCACGGCGATAATAGCCTGCGTGACTCCTTTAATCGTAATGAGCTTGTGCAGCACCCACGTGTCCACGTTGAGTCCTTCGTTGTGCTCCTTGATGGTGTCGAAGATCTGGCCGATGCTTTCGCGCCGCTTGTTGGGGAAGTAGCCGACGATGGCCAGCTTGCGCGGGATCTGGTAGTGCTCGAGGGCGCGCAGGTCCGCGTCCACGACGGCGCTGAGCTTGTTGAGGACGGTCTTGAGCCAGAGCACGGTGGCCTGGTCCTCGCAGTGGAAGATGATGAAGCCCGGCTTGGCGCTGGTGCCGAGGAACTTGGGCTTGAAGCCGCCCTGCTTCTGCGGCACCAGCTGCTCCAGCACGGTGAAGCGCAGCAGCTTGAGCTGCTCGGAGGACAGCAGCGCGTCGGGGTAGGTGGCCGGGATGAGGCCCACGCGAATGCCGCCCAGCGACGCCTTCACCACGTCGGGCGGCTCGTGGAACGTGCGGTCCTTGCGCAGCTTCTTCTTCTTGGGCGCGAGCGGGGGCGTGGGCGGGGTGGGCGGCTGCTCGTCCAAATCGTCGTCCCCGGCGTCGCCGTCGGCGGGGCGCTTGGCGGCCTTCCGCAGCTGCAGGGACTCGGAGTCGAATATGACGTCGTCGTCCGCGAAGTTCTGCTTGAGCGCGGTGAAGGGCTGCAGCTTCTGCATGCCGTGGTGCGCCAGCCCGCGCGCCTCCTCCTCCGTGAAGCCCTTGCTCACCAGCCACTTGAAGCGCTTGCGCGCCGCGCCGCAGTAGCGCTTGCGGTTCCCGAACTCGTCGATGTAGTAGGCCACGGCGGCCGTCGTCTCCGAGAAGGGCTTTCTCCAGGTCTTGCCCTCTGCGCTGCCTTCTGCTGCAGGCTCTTTCGTCCCGCCTTCGCACCCTTCTGCTGCAGGCTCTTTTTTCGACGCGTCGTTGTCTTTTGTAGGAGGGTTTTCCGCTTCGCCTGTGTTGGCTAGTGCAGGAGGCTCTTTTGATGCGACACCGTCTTTTGTAGGAGGGTTTTTCGTTTCGCCTTTGTTGACTTCAGCGGGCGGCTGCTTTGTTTCGCCTTTGTTGCCTTCAGCAGGAGGCTCTTTTTTTGTTTCTCCTGTGTTCGCTTGCGCGGGAATCACATTTGATGCGACATTGTCTTTTGCAGGAGGGTTTTTCGTTTCGCCTTTGTTGACTTGCGCGGGAGGCGGTTTGGTTTCTCCTTTGTTGGCGTCTGCAGGTGGATCTTTTTTTACCTCGTCATTGTTGCCTTTTGAAGGAGGCTGTTTCGTTTCACCTTTACCAGCATCTGCGAAAGGATTCTTCAATACCACCTTGGTTTCTCCCGCAGGAGTCGTGCCCTTAGAAGCAACGGGTGTGTTTTGCAACGCAGATTGGCCAGTGGTCGGGTTTGCTACACTCCCTCCGGTACTCATTATTGTGCAGTGGTTAAGCAACTCACTACGAGAGAGGAAGCGGTTAGTGCCAGCAAGTAGCTCGAAGGCCGAGCTGGGGGCTACCTGGGGCGGTGCTGGCGAGAGGTCAGGCGTCCGGCAGACGTGGGGCCCTCCCACGGCAACTGCAAGCCCCGCGTCGGCGCCCTTCTGCAACCGAACAACGAGGTCGTCATGCTTCGGTTTTCTATAGTGGCCTATGACATTGTCACTTTTACACCTGCCTTTCAAAATGGAGTTTTAATTAATTTACAAAGGTCCTTCTGAACGGGCTCGTGGCTTTAGAAATGTGCTTACCGCTGTTAAAATTCATTTCGTAAGATAGGACGTGTAACAATGACATAATATCATTGCTCGCTATAAAAAATCGAAGTGTATCTACTTGACTGATCGGAACACGCCGCGTCCTATGCACAGCTGCCAACCGCGGTTGCGGCCGTCATCTTCCTCAGGGAGCCTAGAGGCATTGTGCCATGAGTTGAGTTGCTGAGTTGCCCGGGCAGCCGCGGAAACCTAGACTTTCGAGGAAGTAATTCTGTGCTAAGATGGCAAAATGTTATGTCACTTTTTCAAAATTTTCCACGACAGCAATTTTAAGCACCAGCTTGTCATGAAAAATGTGTGGCTTTTGTCTTATAGCAATTTGTCACCATTATTTTTTCGTGAACTACAAGAGAAACTTTTGCCTGCTTCCGAACAGTAACAAACAAGAGTGACACGTCATTTTGTGCCTCGTGTAATCAAAAAGAAACATATCATTTTGCCATTCTAGCACAGAATTCTCACCGGAGACACATACGTACATAGGTGGGGAATGGCGATGCGCAATTGGAATGTGTTCCCGATGTTGCCAAATGCTGAGAGAGTTCCGCTAGCACTGCACTTTGGCCGGAGCGTTGCTTTCGTACAAAAAGTCAGTGTAAGGAATTGCTGCATTATTACACAGGAAGAAAGATTAATTTTTTGTGTTGAGTGAAATTTCGCTTTCTTTGAATGTTTCTTCGATTGGAAATTTGAAACTAATTTACACAATATATCTAGAATGAGTGAAATTACAGGTTGAGCATTAGATTTGTGACACTAATCATTGAAATATTCGAGTCTGGATAGTTTTATCTACCTTTCCAATGCAATGTGTTTTTCGTAAAAAAAGAGATATAATTCGTCGACATTCATCTTTGTCGCAAAAACGTTTTTGGGGCCATTAATAAATCACCAGACAAGACAGGTACAGAAAACTAGAGCTACTACAGCTTGTACTTTCTCGCTTCTTGTAACCCTTATGTGATATTATGTCTCAATTCGTGTTTTCCTTACACTTGATGTCATTTTATATCCTAAATAAACGAAGACTGAAACATAATTTATTCACAAGTTTAAATGGAACTATTTCTGGCATTGAGTTCAGTGTGTTCACGAAAATATCCTATGCGTATTTGTACTGCATAAGTAGTATGCGAGAAAGTAACAAACATTTTAAAAAACCGCTGTTGCCAGCTCGGAGCTGAGGAAATCAACTATGCACGAATTTCGTATATAAACTGAACATCCAGAAATAAAGGACATCAAATTTATCGCATTATGAATGCTTTCGAAATTACGATATCATTACCTGCATATTTGCATACATTTTCATTCCGACTTGATTATACCATTTCATAATTTTATCGAACGTAGATAACATTATAACATTCACGTTATGTAAATAAAGCCCCCTTATCTTATCTATCCCATCATGTCACCGTTCAACAATAAACATCTCAGATATACATCGCAGCAACAACCGCGTACGGAGGTAATATCGAAATCTCATAATATATTTAAATTCTATTTTTAAGAGTTAATATCTAATTGGGCTAATTTCAATTAAGGTTATTATATATTGCCTTCATATGACATGGCAGCCTTATTATATGTTCACACCGCCTCAAACGAAGAGCGGGAATTGCAAAAATTAATTGAATGTTGATGTTGATTGAGATATGTTGATGATAGATATGTAACACGAAACGGCGGTATAAAAATGTTACATAACCATAAGTACCTAGAGCGAGAAAGTTAATGTTCAGCAGCACAAGTTTTCTTTGAATACCGACCTTTTTCGCCTATACCCATCTTCTCCTAAAATGGGTAGAAATATTGATGGCTAATGAAAGATGTGCTCTACGCACAAAGGTACCGTATTTTAATGTTTAAACATCTTGCGAACGTACAGCTGGTATTAAATGATTGGATCCAATGACAATAAGCAGGGATGCAATCGTGCATACAAATCGTTCATAAAAATTACGCTAATATGGTCTTATAAATTTTACTGATAAACTAGTGGCGCTACAAGATCATTTACTTTCTCGCACCATTTCTGAATTTGCAATTTTCGAAAATTAGACCTGCGCTTCTCTTAGACGTCCCTTTTTTATCTGTGAAAATTGAACAAAAACTTTGAAGATAACGTTTTCATTTCCGGAATACATAGGTATTTTAGAGTAATATACGTAGAATATGGAAAGTTATGTCATGCTGCGGAAAATCAATTTAGATATTTCAATGGAAATTTTGTTTAAATGTTGTTTATATCAAAACTGTTAATTCTAAATTTTCAGAAGTATGAAATTTTTTCGGTGTCTTCCTCCAATCACAAAATCAAAGATATTTTTCCTTCAAATAAAATTTGTTCTCCATAGTGAGTTCTATAATTAAGGTCATATACTTTTTTTTTTGAAAATTTTAGTAGTTTTAGCGCAATATAAAAAATGACAAAAATATTTTCTCAAAAACTGTTTTTTTTCTTCTTTAACCTTTGAGTAGGAATAGTGCTAAATGCACTCTACAAGATGACATAAACGCCATATTGCTCTAGTATTTTGTTTTTTGAAAAACTACAAAATCCTAATTTTTTATTTGTCTCTCACCTCGTTAATATTTACAATAGCGGTAATTTGTTCACATTATTATATTTATGAGTAAATGTGCTTTAAATAATATCACACAAAGTTTCCCAAATACTCGAAAGATTTCGGCGAAAACTAGCTCAAAATTCCGCAATTTCAGAAACGCCATTTTCTAAAAAACGGCTCCAAATTTTTCGAACGAATGGTACTAATTGCACTTTAATAAGAGGCAAAGTTAATTTTTTTCTCCTCCAAAATGTACACAATTGTGTTTTTTTATAGATCTCTCACAGCGGTAATACGCACATTTCCAACAATTTTTAAACACTATTGTATTTGTGAGTTAATATGCTTCAAATGACTTTGAATGAAGGTTTTCGAAAACTCAAAAATTTCTGTGAAAAAGAGCTTTAAATTTCGAATTTACCCTAACGGTTAAGCGCCATTTTCTTAAAAACAGCTCCAAATTTTTCAGAGAAAATTGCCATTTAGGACAGTATTTTACTGATCTTTAATATTCTTAAAAAATATTTCCTTTCCACTATTATAAAACCGAAAAATTAAGAAACTGTCAAACAAATGTACTTCGAGCGGCGATAGATGGCAGCTACCCAGAATATGTGGCAAGTTCATATAGCAAGCTGAGACCAAAGGAAGTAGAAAAATAATACAGTAATGTCTGTGCCATTCTGTAGCACCACTAGGTTTTTAATAAATTGCATTAATTTCAAGCACAAATTACGGGAAAACGACTAGACTTTCGAAAATTTGTACGTGATCTTTTTTAAAGAGCTGATTTTTCAGAACATTTTGTTTAAGACAAAAATCTTTATATTCCACTTTGTATTTTCGAAACGTTAACTTTTTTAGATAGAAACGGAACCAGCACATATTTTTTACTGACCCCCTTTTTAGTGTAACTCAGTATCCCAAACAAATTGAGGTTCTGGCACTGAAAGGTTTGTTGAACTCTTTCCAGATTCGATAAGAACAATTTATTTGTTTAGTTTTCCGATGTCAAATTGTTCACTTTTTCTTGACCTGAAACTCTCTTGCTCTATCAATAAATATTTTGTTTGTACTCCAAATGAACCTATTCTACATGTATGACTCCAGAAGCCATTGATATACATTCACAAATGTAATTTTTACATACTTTCTAGGGGGGGTTGCGGCCTTCTGGTAGGGCTGTTGCAGTGATTTATTAAAAATGATCTTTAGATTTGATTTACTTTAATCCTTGTGACAGTTATGTGTACAAAATAATTTTGTACAATCACACTATATGTTATTTGTAATGTATATGATTTATTAATAGTGGATTAATTGAACCTGGCAATTGAACCAATAACTTATTGTATCACTTACTCATTTGTCTTGAATCTTTAGTGGGCTCATATTAAAGCTTAACAATAGTTGAAACTAATTGTTACCAGGGCACCCACGGAAAGTTTCGTTTAAATCAAGGGGGCTGTAGACGAAACAAGTTTGAAAACCCCTGTTCTATAGTAATGAAAGCTATTGAACATCTAAATTTACATTGTATATAACTGTAACACAATGAATAAAAAAAAATAATTAATTCAGCATAAATGAACAATTATATGAAAACATCCAGTTGGTTGGTGAGAGGAGACCTGCAAAAGACATGTAAACCTCTGAAAATTGAATTGAAGACAAGAACATTTTTAAATTTACTTACACAAAACGCACGCAATATTTAAAAAATGTGAAATTATGATGCAGGTATCTGTGAATTCAATAATATTCTTGACAATGAAATTCCAAAATGACCATATCCTTGGAGATGACGATTGGTCGTTTGAACAGCAGGGGTGAGGGTGAGAAGCAATGTGCTTAATGGTAATCCTCTTTGTTGGATGTGAAAAGTAGGCTTGCAGGAAAGACCCACATCTGCCTGCCAGTTCAGTTCCTTCAAAATATTGCTTTCCCATGTATGACTGATTTTTTTACTAATGAATGGCAGCAAAACTTGTTTTTGCACCCATATTATTGCTCAATAGTCTGAATTTAGTATAATAAATATATATTGTTAAAACATCTTTAATTTCTTTAAAAATATTAAATTAGAATGAAACTCGTGAAAATAATGTTCCTTTTAGTAGCCACTCCAGTATGTAACTACAAGGAGCAATAAATTTTTCCTGATATTTAGTGCATGCATAAATAGATTATTGCTGAAAGTGATGCATAATAATGAAAGAACAATATGCATATGCATTTTTTATATTTTGAGAG